AAATATAATCAATCTTTGTGACTTCTACAAAGACATGTACTTTGAGGAAATACTTTGCATAATCGAAAACAAAGTAAAATTGAATTACACCTTGTCTGAAAATTACTGTCCCAAAGAAGAGGTTTATAAAGACAGTGTTCCGCATAGAAGGAAAGCCCAGCCCCTTGACACCAGCAGAATTCACACTGTTGGGTATGATGCATGCTGCACGAAGGGCCATGGAAGGAGGCGAGAGCTCTAAATATCCATCCCCACTCATTGACCCTTGCTTCATTGAAAGGGAGTAGAGAGCTGCAAGCCACTTGGATGTTAACTAAGGGAAGAGAATAAAGGTATGGGCGAGCAAATGTAGTTTCTACTATATATGTGAATGCTGAAGATTTGAAGATTATGGAATTGAGGTAACACTTTGATCAAATCAATGAGTGGCTGTAAAAAAAAAACCAAATGAAGGATTATAAAAAAAAAAAAAAAGAAAAAGGGAATTCAAGCACCTCCTGGTAAGAGGACAGTACAAACTAAACCAGCCAACAGAACTGCCTGTTGACTTTTGATTTAATTTTGTAGAATTCAGACACTAACACGAGCCACTCTTGAATGATGTTCTTCCCTTATATCCTTGCATTTTGTGTGGTCAGGTCCATAAAATGAGCCACTGAGAGCTTGGATGGACTTGTTCCCTCTCACAGAGACGGTTATGCCAGGTCCCAGTATGCCACGAGTAAGCATTCCTCTCTGGGCCCTTTCTGTCTTGCAGACTTGGATCCACGTGCTGGTCATTGTTGGGAGCGTCTTGACTTACTTTTTCTTTGCCTTGGCTTTTGGAGCCCTATGTGTCACTTGCAACCCGCCCTCCAACCCCTACGGGATTATGCAGAAGCACATGCTAGACCCCGTGTTCTACTTAGTTTGTGTTCTTACAACCTGCGTAGCGCTTCTGCCCAGGTATGTAATTCGTTTGCTCCCCAAGACAGTAAGTACATGGAATCAAAGCCTTCAAATAACTACTAAAAATGAGTCACAGACCACCCTGTTCAGCAGTGAGGAAGTCAGCCTACATGCTAGCTAAAATGTTGGTTTCAGTTGTTGTACCATAAGCAGGCCTAGATTAAGTGTGTGAAGACATATATGTCTCTGTCATGGAAAGATCCAATTTGATGGATAGCTCACAGGGATAAAGAAACTTTGCTTCATGGGATTATCTGAGGATTTATCGTGTCCTATTTTTTGCTCTGCCATCCCCTGAGCCCTTGCCTTAGTCTGGTTTACAGCTACAACAGAATATTCAAACTGGGTAACTCACAAACAGAAATGTTTGAGCTTACAGCTCTGGAGGTTGGGAAGTCCCACGTCAAGGTACTAGCAGGTCTGATGACTCTCATTCGAGGGTGAAACCTTAATGCTGCATCCACCCATGACAGAGGTGGAAGAGCAGAGTCCTCACAGCCTTGCCACTTCGTAAAGGCTCCCTATATATTATTACAACGTACAGAATCTATCACATGCCGAAAGAAAAGAAGCTTCCTCTGGGTCACAGGTGTAGAGCTGCTAACGGGAGCCATCTTCACTTAGGCAGAAGAATCTTCTATGCTTTGACTGTTCCTCCCCCAAATCATGTCGAAATTTCTTACCATCGTAACAGGAGAAGAAGAGTCTTTATGCTTATTTGGCAGGCACTTAGAGGGTACTTACTGAACAAATAATAATTTGCTTAATATTTTTTAATTATATTGAGTTTTCAAAATTAAGGTTTTTGCACAGTCGCCCAAATTGGCCTGAAACTCACTGTCAAGCTTAAGCTGGCCTTGAACGCTATCCCTCTGTTTTATCCCTCTAATTTAACCTTCTAAGTAATGGAGTCATAAAGGCTTACCACCCAGCCCAGTTTAATTTTTGTTGTTGTTGTTGTTCTTTTTCGAGACAGGGTTTCTCTGTGTAGTCCTGGCTGTCCTGGAACTCACACTGTAGACCAGGCTGGCCTCGAACTCAGAAATCCGCCTGCCTCTGCCTCCCAAGTGCTGGGATTAAAGGCGTGCGCCACCACCGCCCGGCTCCAGTTTAATATTCTTAATCTCCATTTTATAGCTGACTTACCTTCCCCTAACTCAGAATCCAAGTGATATTTACCTTTTTTTTTTTCTTAAATGATCAGTATTCTCCGTGAGTCCCCTGATGCAATGGAAGTGAACATGAGTCTATGCTGTTCTTTGTCACCTAGGTTTGTATACCGAGTTCTTCAGGGAACCATGTTTCCATCTCCGATTCTCAGAGCCAAGTTCTTTGACAGACTACCTCCAGAGGAGAGAGCAGAAGCTCTTAAGAAGTGGAGAGGGACTACAAAGGTCAATCACGTGGCATCTAAGTATGCCAGCCAATCAGCTGCTAAGTCAGGAAGACCCACGCCTGGCTCCTCTGCTGGCCTTGCAGTGAAGTCAGCAACTGTGCACACTGTTGAACAAAGCACACGTGAAACTGCTCTAGACTCTGGCTACTCTGAGCCTGGGGCCTCAAAGATGACTGAACCCTCAGCAAGTTAAACACGCAGGATACCCTGCTTAGAGTTGCTGGTAATCTTTCAAGTTTGGAAGAATGTAGAAGAGACACCTCTCAGAAGTGAGGATTACTTCTGGCTTTGTACAAGGGATATCAGCATTTTGCTTGGCATGGACAAACCAAGAACCTATCTACAATTGTATACCTGTGGGCACATTTATAAACAAGGGATGTCATTTGACCTAAGCAGAGTTTAGGGAAATGGAATATTTAATTCAGGATAATATGTTGTTTTTGTGAAACTTTTTGGTTTTTTCATAAAGGAATTTTAATTGTCTTATAAATGCACACTTTCCCAAAGAAACTTATTTGAAATATATTTATTTTATAGATAAGTCTCATGCATTTGGAAAATGCTTTAGATGAGATCCAACCGAATTCTCCTTATGGAAAAAAAAGTACTTTTAAAAATAGTTGATTAGGAAAATTCATTTGAAGACAAATTCCCAAGAGTCTTTTATTTCCCACGAGAGGAGGCTTTGGTTCCTGACTGAAGGTGTCTATCATCACCCTCTGTCATTTTAGCTTTTTGCTGAAGTAGAGCCTTTGTAGGGAAGGGCAAAGAAGAAGGCTAGTGTTTTCAACAGCACCAGGCTGTCTTCTGCTGCGTACTGTTATGAGTGGACGCAGAGACTCTCTATGTGCAGGTGTTGTCAACCAGGAAACAGACAAATGGCCATGAAAGACAATCAGCTGAGCCTACAGGGTGTGAGCAACTCCCGGGTTCTAAAATTGATGACACCCACAATAAAATGAGACAATCATCTTCGAAAGTCTCCCAGAGACCGCTGGAGAGTTGATAGTTGTGACAGTGCTCAATAGTTTGTCTGTCTTGTGCCCTCTAGATATGGGTTGAAATTGATACAGGTTATCCTCAGTGGGAATCTGAGGCTTTTAGAAAAATAAACATATTGAAGGGTAGAGATGTCTGTAGCAAGGTTTCTGCTGTGACAAATCTCGGATGGATGCTGGCTTCATTTAGTGTCTAGAAGCTAGTTTACACTAGTCGAGTCAATTTGCTACTGTGATGTCATGTACTCTTGTTGAAATCTTTCAAAGCTTCCATATCCACCTGACAGCTGCCACCCCCCTGTCGTCTAGAAGTCTCTTCATGAACCTCTATGCTAAAGGGTCAGTGTCCACATCAAAGTCTTATAAACTGTTCTTCTCAGGGCCTAACTGTTACCTGCTGGGTACCGTCCCAATCACTCTCTCTACCTTCCTGGTATCGCTGTTAAATGGCCTTTTCACACAGGCTGATTTCTGGAACTGTCACAAAACTGTGTGTCTAAACGAAGCTGCCTTCTGCTTCCTTGAGGTTTGTTTTTTATAATAAATTATTTAATAAATGACGTTCACCAGAAACTGTCATCACTCCTGTAAGTACTCTCTGAATCTGGCTGTAATTGATGCTAGAGCCGAGAAGGCAAACACCAAGGCGTGCCTTTATCAGAACACTGTTTGGGCTTTTTTGTCTATGGGGAAAAATATCACTTGCTAGTTGATCCTTCATCATCCCTATAGCAATGGGAATCCAGTTCTTGAGATCATCACTTCCCAAATAAACCTTAAAGCAATACTCATATGCAATAAAAGGTTTTAGTATAAAGATTAAAGGAATATGACAAAAGGGAGTAAGAAGCAGGTCACTTCCAAAATGTGAATTATCTGCACATAAGAATATAGGAAAGCATTAATGATTAATTATGTCATGGGGCTATAATCCTGTACCTACAGCTCTAAAATCCTCATAATTTCTCTCATAAATGAAATCCAGACTCAATGCGTTGGATAAACCTGAAGCTATTTATATACTTAATGCAATTATTTGTGTAACTTGCTAAAAATGATTGCTACATCTAATTACTTACTGATTAACTATTTTTCCTTTTACTTAAAAAAAAAACACCTTCTGAAACACACCTTGTCCTATGCTGCAGAGATTTCAGATCTCTGTAAAGCTTTGAAAAGGTCGAATTTAGACAAGAACAACAATTTCACGCAAAATTAGCAAAGCTAGTGTGGTGTGTTGTATTTTTATATTTAGAATATTTCAACAAATTTAGAGGAATCCAAGAAAACTAATAATGAAGAGTTTGGGATTATGATTTTGTTTAAAAGGTTTCTAAAGGGTAGGAACACTTGCAAAAATGGACTACTCGTTCTCTTAGCAGGGTTGATGTTCTCTGAGTACTCCATGAGCAAGCAATATTATTAGAAACTCATCAGACTAACCATGAAAGTGTTACTAGTTCCTGTGAGAGTGGGCTGTACAACACTGAGTTCCACGGTGCTATTAGAGGGATAACCACTTTCCTGGAACTTGGTCTCTATATTCTATCCATAGTCCTCTAGAAAAAAAAAATGAGAAAGATTATACCAGTTTATTTTGTATTTAGAATTATTTAGAGTAAGTCCGATAGGTACATTTTACTGAATATAAGTTCACCAATGCTAAAAAATATTTTATTAGTTATGTGCCAACAATTATAACAAAACCGACCAATGGGCTTAAGCCTTCATACAGTCATGACCACAGTACAACCCTTTGCTACACACTCTTTGTAACAAGTTCCTGGACAAGAAGTGAATAACATGGAGAATAAGGATTGAAACAATGTTTGCATTTGAACTATCTAGAAAAAGAGTATAAAATACACATATAAAATTGCAGGTAGTCCCTGTTTGGAATACTGAGGCAGTTTGGTTGCTGGTGAAGTTTAGCAGTGCAGCCTACTTGTTCAAAAAGGCATTTGGATGTTACATCGTTGATGTCTGGCTAATTAAGTTAGGGCTATATGAACCTTTGTGTTTTGAAGCTTTTTAGTGGAGAAAAATATTTTTAACCACTAATTGCTTTGGAAATTGATTCCCATAAAGTGGTCCAGTGCTTAAAAGCATCTTTAAAATTTAGTTTTAATTATCAATGAGGCAAAATGGCAACACCAGATGTTAGACATCATAAGGGAGAAATTGCAAAATGTTATACTCCATGCAACATTTGGCTACATTTTGAAATATAGCCATTCTGAACTTTTCTGGTTTGGGTGAACACAAGCAGATTAACTTCCCAATTTAATAGAGAGTGGGATACCATTTAATTTTTTTCTCCTTTTTAACTTGTGTGTTTTACAAAATGGAAAAGGTTCTCATTCATTCCCAGATAGGCAAACAAATTATTTCCTCAAGGATTGACCTGGTTGTTGACATCCACAGTCATCCAAGTGACATACATCAAAAATCCCCAGTAACAGGACAAGTCCTATGGAGATTTTCTATTAAATTACAATCTTAATTTGAATACAGAAAGGATAGAATTATACTTACTTCTCACTGTTAGTTTTGTTGGCTAGAGAATTTTACATTCTTGCAACTTCAACTGTCTAGATCAACACTCTGGGTCTTTTCTCTGTCTTTCATAATTTCTTCAAATCATTTAGAAGAGTATAGTAAATAATAAATGCATGTATATTATCTTGGCTTTTTTATAAATTAAAAGCCAGTCTCTAAGATCAATTCTGAAATGTGCCCCCTAAGCCGCTGTGCTTGTGCAGAAACTGGAGATCAGTCAGCGTGTATCTCCGTGTGTTTTGTAATAGTAATAAAAGGAGCTTTCTATAACTTGTTACCATAGAGCTCCAAAGGTTGTCTCTATGGGTCTAAAATTCCATACTACATTCAAGGTTAGCCTAGCAAAAGAACAAAACATACTTTGCTCTGTGCTTTAAAAAGAATTCATGAAATTAATGAATGATAACGTTGAATAAGATGAAAGCCTGAGTAAAATTCATCTAGCACAAACAGGAGAGGTCTTGCAGTGCACGCTCAGTGTCCTGTCCGTGAAACAAACGCCTGTTCGTACAGCTCTTGACAGAACACGCTTCCCGTTCAAGAGGGCCATTCTTCTAGATTTCCTGCAAAGTCTCTGATTATCCTTGGGATTTCTTTTGGAGAAAGGTCTGAATATATATTTGTCTTTCTATCCAGTCAACAAAGTAAGACACATTGCTGTACACTCCGGGTCCCAGAACTTTGGAAAAGCAGACGGAGCCCCATGAAGTTAAACCGAACAATGTCCACTGTCCTCTGGGTCGTTCACAAACCAGAGGCCCACCACTGTCTCCCTGTAAGGAACAGCAACTGATGTTAGTCATGAGAGGTCAGAGGTCTGGTGGTGGGGCTATCATCCTAAGGGTACAATAAAGCCCAAATCAGTTTAACTGAGTTGGAAATTTTCAGCAAAGTTTTCAGTGGTAAGCCTGGGAGGGCACCTGTATAAACAGAATATTCTAATAAATATGATGGATTCTGAGTTTTAAAAGGATTGAAGTACTGAGTAAAGAGATTTTATTCTGTCTTGTCATGAGGTCAGAGGACTTATATAACACACCACAAAATGTGATAAATTTTTAAAAAAAGACTTTATGTGTCAAAACTAATTATCTCAACAAGTTTATTGTTTATGTTGGAATGATCTTATAAAAGTAGGAAGTACCCAAGAGTGGAAAATTAAAACATTCCCCCAATTAGTCAGTTGTACATGATGTTCTAAAATGAACCATCCCAAATACCATGTAATTGTGTTGGGCTAACGTCGAGCATGGTTTTTCTCTGCTTAATACAGAAATCTGAGGAGCAGTTTGGTCACTCCAAAGCAACAGAACAGCTGAGTAGAAGACCCACAACCTGGTCCTCTCTTGCCTGCTGCTTTGTGAACTCGGCCGTTTGAAGCCCAGAGAGAGACAGTTCAGCACAATAGCTGAAAATGTTTAGGTAGATGTATGAAACCTCTCAAACGCTGCACATGAGGCATGTTTTGAAGATCTCAATGGCTATAAGTCCTGTCTGAGGTTGGAGGCAGTGACAGTGACAGGCTGGTAATCAAATGAGGGCCATGACGTATTATCAAGAAATTGCAGACAGCCCTTTCACACACCGTGGGAGCTAGGCTGCCAGTCTATGTCCTAATGTCATAATGATTATACCTGGCAATGTCCTCTGATGTGCCCCTATTGCTTAAGACAGTGGATTTGAAACTGTGATTTCTACTTGCCCCTCATAATTAGACTTGCCTTAGCCACCAAATTGATCAAAGGAGATGGGCTGACTCAACTGTCCTCCTGGCAGTGAACAATATTCATGAATGTTCCTGAGGGAGCACTCATGACTTGTGAGCAGCTGTGCAAGCTCACTAAAGCCATGGCGGATCCTGAGTGCTGGTCTAGTCGGAAGGCAGCTTACCATGCATGAGTCCACGGTGCCAGACTCATAGCCAGCACATATCATCCTATTGGTGATGGTCTTCATGTCAAAATAGGACTGGCACTGCTCCAGAGGAATAATGCGGACCTCCCCCTCCTGCAGCTTAAAGGGCACTGCATTCAAAAAGGAGAAGAAAGAGAAACACGAGAGCTTAAGGCTGACAAAGATGTGGCCAGCAAAATACAAAATGAACAATATTGCAGGAATATTTTCATAACACCAAGAGAACCACATTGTTTCCCTTAAATATCATCTCAAGGGTAAGACCTGTTTGAAACCCAAATTTTCTACTTAGAACTTTTGATAGCAATCATCTATCTGATGAAGCTCCCATTTTTCTAGTGAGACACATTAAGTAAGAATTTCTTAACCCATGGGTCATGACCCCTATGGGGGTCAAGTGACCCATTCACAGGAGTCTCAGATATCCTGTATATCAGATAGCTACATTACAACTCATAACAGTAGCAAAATTAGAGTTATGAGGTAGCAATAAAATGTATGAACATGAATTAAAGGGTCACAGCATTGGGAAGATTGAGAACCACTGCTTTGTCCCCTTGTCATGTGCTGTGAAAAGGAGTACCCCAGAGATTTTAGCTCAGCATATCCATCCTGCTCTAGGATTAGACAAAAACCTCTGACCCTCATGGGAACTGGCCCACCTCACATGTGCTCCTGTGACCCTTGTTCTGATGCAGAACCTTTCCTCCTAGAGGCTGGGACAGATTTGAAAGGAACAATATCATCTCTTGCTTACAATAGATAGAATACATGGCTTCTGTCTTGCTTACAGTTTCTCAAGGATAACAGTGGCTGTCTTCAAGCAAAACTTGATAAATCTTACTTGCACATCCTAAAAGCCATACAAATGTGAAGCCACAATGGAGAAACAGCGCTAACAATAATCACTGTGTTGTAGTACAAGTTTAACGAACCAGAAGGTTGTCAGACGGATGACAATGAGTGCAGCACTCAGTGTACTGCACACCAGGGTAGACAGGGCTCATACCATCACACCTTCTGGGCCACAGTGCTATTTATTCCTTTCCTAACAATCTTATGTGTTCTAGGATCATCTCATTCCTTTTGTAGAAGGCAAGATATTGGAATGGCCAGGGTCAATCTGATCTTCCAGGATGAATTCATTTGCCTGCTCTTCATGCTATCACCTGACTGTGGCATATGCGCCATGGTACCCTATTACTATGAGTTTATATAGATATTTCGTGGTGAACACAACTAGAGACATTGAGAAGTATATTCTGCTCATTTCATTACAATGCTGATCTGTTTTGTTTTGTTTTTTAAGCAACATACATAGGAGTGATGGCAAGTTCCTTTAAATTTGTGTTCTTGTGACTAGTATCAAATTGCTAGGAGGCTACTATGTATCACCATTCAGAAAAGCATGGCCCGCTCCTGCAGCTGACACAACTCTTTTGTTCTCGGCTCTTATTATAAACTTTAAATCAGTCAAATTATTTCTATGTGTTTTGTGTTTAAAGTCACTTTTCATGAAGCCCAATTTAAGCAATTTAAATAGTTAGATATGTATCACACTTCTTCATAGAAGGACGGGCTGCATCTGTACGTAAGAATAAATCAATTGCAAAATTGAAAGTGTGACTATGTAGCTTGACCGAAGACATGGAATTGCTTAATTATTTCACACAGCCGCTGAGAAATTCTGCCAAGAGATAGTCCAAACCACTGTTCTCTCTAGCAGGGATGTTGGGCAGGTCACGCATTGCATGGCAACTCCAAAAGATTGGTAGTAGCTCTCTGGGGGAAATATGAGGGCTTTCGGGAAGGACACTTGCATCTCAGGCAGGCAGGCTTATGTGTTTTGATGGATTGTTCATGTTTGCAATTGGCTTAGAGGGGAGAATAGAACACAGGCTAAGTATTTACCCCGTGTGGCTGTTTTTTTTTACATGTGAAATGAGAAAGAAACAATAGCCAAAGCCTAAAAGGACGTCTAATGCTTTTCATTGCTGAATGGGCAATCATGGCTGATGGCGCTTGCTTACTTTTGTTGCCCATGTGACCCCAGCCTGTGATGTAGCAGTACGTGTCTGGTTCTAGAAACTCCTCTGGGCTGGGTAGGCAGACAGGTCTGACGTAGCTTGTCTCAATGATATCGTCACTCAGCTCCACCACGCTGATGTCATAGTCTACCACCGCTCGACTGTAACGGGGATGTAGCAGGATGGTCTTCACAAAGCGGGTCTGCGTGAAGCCTGATGGATGATCCAGGTTGTTTATGCCAAAGACCACTTTCCAAACCTCAGCGTCTTCTCTCCTGAAAACAATCCGAGAGTACATTCAACTCTGTCTGCTTCGATGGTACCTGCTTTCAAAAGTAATTTTTGTATACAAACACCAATTGTTCCCATATCTGTCTCCTAATACGTTCACATGAAAAGCGGCCATACAACGGCCTGAGGAGTGAATAGCTAAGCATTGTTATATGAGGAAGCAAAGCTCAGACTTCTTCTGTCGTCACTTTAATTATTTATTTATTTTTTTAAAAAAAATATGGAATGCTTCACAAATTTACAAGTCACCCTTTGTAGGGCCGTGATAATCTCCCATGCATCGTTGCAATTCTAGTAGCAAGCACTCAGCCTTCTTGGATAGGACATTCTTAAAAATGGAGCTTGTCTGGTCTTAGGGCCAGTCAGCTGTTTTAGGACATAAGAATGATAATTAGAAGTTAAGAGAAAGAGAGAGGAGCAAGGGAGAACATAAAAGAAGAATGGAGGGGAAAAGCCAAGACTAAGAGGTTCTTCCAAACCCTTCAGGGAAGCATCAGGTTTTCAGGGCAGCTATTTGCAAAGTTCAACCTCAGGGTTTTAAATCCCCACTTACAAACCCCAATGGTCCATCTCAGGTCTCATCTTGGAGGAGCATTTGTCTTTGATATTTTAGGCCATTTTTACCTTAAAAATTAGACTTCTTCTCCAAGTTTACAGGTCTTCTCAGTCTTAGGAATTTCCTCCAATCTCATGGGTTGCTCCCTGCCCCTTGCCCACCCTTTCTCTTGGGTCCTTCTCCTACCCTCTTGGTGACATTGCTGACATGCTCTGAGACCCTTCCTCAGCATTCTCTGTGCATGCCATACCCCCTTGATGGTCTCCGCAGTGCAGTTGTCTTAAACACACCGTATTCTGGTGAGTCTTGAAAGTATATCATGGGCTATATTCTCTGACATGAGTCACAAACTTGATCCAATTGTCCGTTAAACTCAGTCACATGCATGTTTGATCATAGCCAAGATCTGTCAAGGGCAGTCCGTACGATTGGTGATGTTTAAGCATTCAGCATTTTTGGAAATCAAGTACTTCCAATCAATCACCAGTGATTAACTCAGTCATTTCTCTCTTCAACCCAATACTGTGGGGCAACAGAAAGGCTTTCGATGTGTATCCTGCACCTGGACATTCTACCTTCTCGATTGTTCTCCGCTTGTGAACCTGCTTTAACTTTTTTCTCCAGGTTTTCACTGATATCGGGGATATTTGACGTGGATCGACCTCTTTGCCTACTCTCTATCTTGCCTTCTCCCACGCTCACAGGGTTTTATATCCATGGAAACAAGAACTGTGTTAGTTACTTTCACATTGCTGTGGCCATACCACAAACCCAGCGTAAGTGAGAAGAGATTTCTATTGGTTCATAGTTTCAGAAGGTTTCAGTCCACTGCCATAAGGAAGCCATAGTGGCAAGTGTGTATGGTAAAAGCTCCTTACGGTATTGCAGCATGGGAAGGAGAGAGCAAGGGTGGAACTAGAGGTCAGGCAGTAATGTTCAAAGTCCCATCCACTCCTAGACCCTAACTTCCAGTGTGCTGGAGTGTAAATGTCCAAAATACGAGCCTAGGAGGTGTCTTAGTTAGTTTGGTTGCTCTACAGGCAATCCATATGTTTGCGATATGTTTTAAAGAAAATGATGTCAAACCTCTAAGAATGATGTCATGGATCGGATACAACAGAGACAGATAAATTACAAATTTTCAAGGTCAAGCATTGTGCTAGAGATGACAAGCAAGAAAGGCATGACCTCTGCCTATACAAATTGGATGACTGAGTGAAGCTGGCCAATGCATGAAATGACTACAATAAGTTGGAGGAGTGTTATGTCCTGGGCATGACAAGATAATGTTACAAAATGATGTTTCGGGCTGGAGAAATGGCTCAGAGGTTAAGAGCACTGACTGTTCTTCCAGAGGTCCTGAGTTCAATTCCCAGCAACCACATGGTGGCTCACAACCATCTGCAATGGGATTTGATCTGCAGTGCTGTCTTCTGGTGTGTCTGAAAATAGAAGCAGTGTACTCACATATATAAAGTAAATAAATAATTCCAAAAAAATGATGTTTCATTACATAACGCTATCATTCAAAGCATATGCTTTTCCTTCTATCTTCTCCCTTTTCTCCAGCCATTTGCTCCTCCTCCAACCCCTTCCTAGTCTACAGGAATAAGTCTGCATGTCCACTGAGGAAATGCTATATTCACACGGAGTTTTATTGTTTAAGACATCTGAAATCAACAGTACTTTTTCGGATTGATTTATTCAATGCCTCTTTAGAAGCTTCTTACCCTGGAGCTGCAATGAATCAGCTCTAGTTGTTACAACAGCTCGCCCTCTGTTTCAGTCATAAGCAATATTTAAAGTCACTGAACATTCTTAATTATTTGTAATAAAATGCAATAACACCAAAATTCAGTACTTAGTCAATTATTGTAGGATTAGTTTAAGCCCAACAATAAAACACAGGCATCAGTAAAACCAAAAACTGTTACTAAGTTACATGCAGTTTTGCTACACAGCCTAGCACCCTTACAGCATTGACATCCATCAAGAGCAAGAAAGGGGAAAAGTAGATAGAATTATTCTTTTCTGTCTTGTTATGCACACGGTATGAAATACAAAGTGATTCTTCATGTTTTCCCTCCACAGAAAAGAAAACCAAGAAGGTGGGAAGGGGTTTCTGAAGTGACAGAGAGGTGTGGGAATGGCAGATGAACCTGATTATGCAATCCAGTCATTTTTCATGCAGTGGTAAACATGGCTTGGAACATACTGAGCATGCGCTGGAAAAATGAGTCAGGAATAAGGGCAGAGACAGCAGAGACAGGCCCTGTCTCTTGGTTGAAGATGACTCCGAGAAAGAGTTCTAGGCTACACAGATGCCACAGGAATCTACTATCAGTAAAAGGTACTGAGTGACAAGCACAGGAGCAGGACATGGTTATAAAGTTAAACAGGGAAATCAGGATACAACGAGCCAAGTACATGAAGACAAAATCCACAGCATAAAGAAGATAACTTCCCCTTGGTATTCCAAACTTCAAAACAGAATCAAAGAGAAGTACAGCATCCTTAGTGATACTTGTGCAAGACCTCTTTGGCTCTAAGAGCCGAGGGGATTGCTCTGATGCAAAGTGCTCACCCTGTAAGCACAACGACCCGAATTAGATCCCCAGAACTCACACTAGCAAAAATATGGCCATATGCATTTGTAGACTCATCTGGAAAGGGGATGACAGACAGGTCTCTGGGGTTTGATAGCAAGCCAGCCTACTGTACTCGACAAATTCCAGACCACTGAGAGATTATTTCAAACAAAAGTTCATGCCACTTAAGGAATGATACCAGAAGTTAACCTCTGAACCCTCCCCTGACACATGACCACACACACATGTATATGTGAATGTACACAAGCACACACACAAACACACACATACACACACACGCACACACAGCTCTTGTTCTAAAACTGAGTAATCGGGCTCAATTAGAGCCAATGGCTCCAATGACCCAGAATGAAAATGACACAGGAAGCTGTTGGCTGACATTTTTCTCCTTTCATTCTTCCTTGCAGACATACTGCCATTTTTATAACTCACATTTAAAGTCAAATGTATCCGTGCTTATATTGTTATTTTATATGAATATACACTACAGATGAGACAGAGGAGGTGATGTCATTTCAATGTTCAAGTCTTCAACTATGAAGTCTAAAGGGAAAAGTTGTGACTAGCATATGTTATATGAACTGTGGCATCTGCCTCGGGGCGGAATAACCCATCACTTTGGATTGCCATTTGCTATATTCAACCCTAGTGTTTAGACATGAGAATATGACTTAATTCCCCTAGTCAAATGCACCTTGAAGTGTTTTTTCTTCACAGTGTTGGAGGTTGACCCCAGGCCTTGGGCATGTTAGCAAGCACTCTACCAAATGCCAGCCTCCTCCATTTCATCTATTCAGACTTATAAATGTTTATCATCTTTATATTCTTTAAGACACAAAATGTTCTACCCTCTGCTGTTTCTAGTTTGGCTTTGATTATTTTATATGAACTACTTTGTTGATTTAACAAAGGAAAATTGATACATATAATTAACACATATAATAAAATCCTTCCCGAGTTACAAGACGTACCCAGCACATCGAGCTGGTGATCTGGAGGCCAATTGAAAGTAACAAGATTTTCACTTAGGAAAGACACATTCTGCTGTCCTATAAATCTTAGGGAACTCTTTATTTTTAACATTGTGTTCTGTCATTAGTATTTTAAAATTGTTGTCTGCAGAAAGGGTGCACAAAATTTAGACTAGGGTAAAGTAAATGCAGGAAGAGGCAGGTGTGAGTTACTGAGAAGAGTGTGTCAGCCATAAGCTCTAGTTCAGCGCCCTTCCACTTCTTGCTGTCAGCTAATCACTGTTCTGATGAAGTGGAAGACCAAATATGTAGATTTTATGCAAAACATCCAGTTTTAAAGGTTAGATAAAGGTTTTAAAAGCAAATTAGGTTTACAGCCTAGATTATCCATTTGTTTATGAGCCCTATAATTTTCTAAGTGTTTTTATTTCAAGCAATCTTCATCTTATCTGCTATGAGAAGTGCATTGCTTACTTAATCGTAAAAGTCACATAAGTCACAGAGACAGTGGTAGTAACTAACAGGATCTTAGTCCAGAACAAAAAAGAAATTTCAGACAGGAATCTAAATTTTAGGCTAGAACAAGGAAGTATAGGCTTCAGACATGAAAATGACTTTGGGCTAGGACAGGGAAGTTGGCTCAGATATTTTAGTCATCCTGATAAGCCCTTAGAAACAGTGATCACAGGAGCGTTCACAGAATTTTGTTTATTGCCTTGCTTGTTCTTTGGCTATTTGTGTTTATTGTCTTGCTTGTTCTTTGACTATTTGCATCTATTGTATTGCTAGACCCTCAACCTAGAACTGACCTAAATACTTGCATGTAATTCGAATGGTATAAAAGCAAA